GAAACAAAATCACACCAAAATTATGGTACCTACTTTTGTGGTTCCCGAGATATAGAATTCGATTGAAAATTAATCTTTTCAAAATTTGAAGTTTTGGAGACGCTCGGTCCTCCTGTTCTTTCGTTATTAAGTAGTATATCAATCTTTTTTAACTAAGACTTAAAAGTTTGAAATATATTATGTTAATTTGAAGAAAGCCTTGTGGAGTGAAGAAAGATCTAGTTATAAATATTGACAAAGGTATGTTAGGATGGTTTGGATATATGTATAGGTTTGGAAAACATTATACGGACCATATGGTGTAGGTATGATCATCTCTAATAATTGCAGGCCAATATTCGTAAAATGTCGGAGTGCATCTCAATCAAATAAGTGAACATGTAGGTATAATAAACATTTAGATAAACATATTCGTTACTTGTTACAATAAGTATAGCATAACTTCCATACTTTTTTTATTTTTGTAGAGGTTTGCGAAATTATGACAACAAACGTACCTCAACTAGATTGAGGACGTTTTTGGCAAAGGCCAGCTTAGGAGTATCCTAATTAGGTCAAAAACAAAGTACCTATTGTAAAAGAAATTCCGCACGCTCATGGTTTCTAATTCCTAGAAAAGCATTCGTTGTTATCGACAGATATTTGAACGGTATGATGTCTTTTGAATGTGCGGTACAGTCAGTTGTATTAAACTAGTTATTTGGCAAATTAGTTGTGGTAATAAAATTTTTATTTTGGATTTAAAATCAGTTGTTTTATTGTTTTAAATTGTTTTTTACACTATATAGTTTAAGTTAAAATAATTTGGTTCTTAAAAGAAATTTTAGTTGTTTTACTGTTGCTATTTGCCTCTGTTGACTAATAAGTTTACAGACCATTGGTATCAAAGTGTGGTCCGCAAAGCATTTGTGTGGGCTCAGCAAAGAACATAATAGTTATAAAAAAGCAGTACCATCGCTACAAAAGGAAGGAACTTGCTTTGAGGACTTTTTTTAGTTAGAAGTCACCTAGGAAGGAGGATATGATTTTGGACCTGGTTATCTCTGTTTTGGACCCTTCCTTTTTTTTAAAGTCACCAAGAGGAAGGAGGATATGATTTTGATTTTTTGGGGGGGCTCCGCGAAGAAAGGGGAGGGACCTGGCTCGAGGCCTGTTTTTTTTTTAGAGTCACTAAGAGGAAGGACGATATGGACATTTTCTTTAATGTGTTTAGAGCTCCATCAAATAGTTTGAGAACCACTGGTCTAAAGCATTATTAACCCGATTTAAAGCACATAATATGCCATAAAGTGAGAACAAATTAATCACTAATAAGACTACTAGGTGTCACTAACAATAAAGACCTTTCAAAAAAAGTACTTAAAGAAGTTACTGCTAAAAATATAAATAAAATTTTGTTAGATCATATTACTAGAAGTTAAAGAATAATTAAAAAATACTTTTTTTCAAAGTACATCGAATGACATAATAAGAAATAAAGTTATTAGGAAATAGATAAATAGACAAATTAATTACATTGTACTTGGCATTGGAAGTTTCAAAACGTGTATAAAATAAATAAATAAAATAAATTTGCTTTAAATTAAAGAATAACTTACCATTGCAACAACAACAACAGCACAGAACAATAAACCGGTTAAGGAATTCATCTTGATTTGGATGTCAATTGAAAATTATTAAATATCCATAATGATTTACATTTTTTATACTAAATTTAGTTGTTTACTTATTATCGTGAACCCGTGACTTTTATTTATCATTGTGCAAGCTGGAAGACGTGAATGTTGATAATTTTTATTAATTTCAAGAAAAACAAATAAACAGATTGATTTGTTTTTATATTAAATCAAAAGATAGGTAAAAAGATACAGTTGGTGCAAAGTTTTTACTTCCTTACTTCAATTTTTAAATATCTAACTTCTGTCGGTCATCAGCATGTAACTAATGATTTGTCATTATTCAATAAATACTTCAAAAATATTTGCTCTTTCGTATTTTATTCTATTATAATAACAATTGCAAAGCGATTTATTTGACACATCTACACCAGGGATTCTCACCCACTGTGCTGCGGCATTTTTGTGTGCCACTAAATTCTAAAAGGGTATACCGCCAAATTTTAGATACTATAATGTGAGCCATTTCATTATTCAGTCATGCTCTAATACTCCAAGTCCCTCCCTGTATTATTTGACCTTTGAGGCTCAACTTGTCCGCTTATTTTACATAATTAAACCCCTTAAGACCAAACCTATGGGACGACTATGGTGGAGACACTTTCGCGAACATTCCTAGTTTAATTGGTGCAGCACCACAAACCTTGAAACGTGGGCGGAAATCCAGGGAAAGACCAATACATAAGTTCAAAAAAATTGTGCCGTTAGAAGTAAGGTTTGATAAATGTGCACATTTACCAGAACGTTCCACCTCACTAAGATGTGCTCACAAGGACGTCCACAGGACCATTTGGAAGTGCGTAACATGTGATGTTGGCCTGTGCCTAAATAAAGATAGAAATGCTTCACGGCATATCATACGAAGTAAAACCTGCCTGGTGGTTACTAGGTGAAACCACATCCTGCAGGACACAAGGACCTTTTATATTTTTTTAAATTATCTACTGGTTTAAATCCACCATCAGGAAAGGGGCGCAAACTAATAATAGTACACATCGGTAGTTCAAACATGAGGACATGAATGCTGATGTCTTTAAAGAGTGTTTCGAACAAATTATAGATCCTCTTCCTCAGAACTGTATAATAGTAATGGATAATGCAAGTTATCACTCGAAACTTATAGAAAAAATGCCCACAACCAAGTGGTTAAAAAAAGATTTACAGAATTGGCAAAATTCAAAGAATATTAAGTTCCATCCCGGTTCTGTGAGAAAAGAACTGTATCATTTGTGTTCCCTTCATAAAGAGAAATTCAAAAAATATGAAATTGATGAAATTGCAAAAAATCGTGGAATGAAGATCATCACCATATCATTGCGAAATAAACCCGATTGAACTGATATGGGCACAGATAAAGGGAGAAGTTTCAAGAAAAAATAATTCTTTTAAAATGAGTGTTGTTAAACAGTTGTTTTTGGAGGCTGTAAATAATGTGAAGCCTGAAAACTGGGAAAAGGCAGTAAATCATACGATTAAAGAAGAAGAGAAAATGTGGAAGTTGGACAATATTACTGAGTCTAAATATAACGTGATAACGTTTCTGGTACCTTCTGGCAATTTTCGTGGGGGAGCATTCTAGACCACCAATTTGTATATAAATTGGTAAAGGAGAGCCATCAGTTATCAGTATTATATGAACAGTGAAGATAAATAGTAATCAGTTAGTATATGGACAGTGAAAATAAATAGTAATTAGTAGATAGACAGTGGTGAATATAAATAGTGATCAGTTTAAAGACATTCGAAGTATATATAAATTAAAATAATAGTGTTATAAATAAATAAGTGTTTAAATAAATTATTTACAAATACACTGTTGTTTGAAAATAAACAAACATCACAATACTTTTACCAGGAATAGATATTTAAATCCATAAATTTATTTATATTATTTTATTGTTTTGCAACGCGTTCTTTCTTGGCAAAAGTATGTAATTTAGTTTAATATTAGTTTATTTGCTTGCAGGGTCAAATTATAAAATTATGTAAACATATTGGCTTTGCAGTATTGAATAAATCGTATTAAAAGGTATTTTTTTTTTAATTTGGTGTCATCGGCATTGACTACTAAGGCCATTAGGCCATTAGCCTCGTGTTCTGTATAAAAATTCATGGTTCTTCTTGATTTTAAGATCGATGAAGCAAGTTTCTTTATGTCAAAAAAATACGGGGGAGTTAAAAGATACCCAACCCCCTAACTTTTTTTGAGGGGGTTGCTTTAATTTTTTTTCTCCTTTAGAATGTTGGGCAAAAAGTTCAAAGAAAAAATCGCACCACCAAACTTTTTACAAAAAAAAACCTTTTCTTGAATGTTAGTTTAACGCCCTGTAACTTTGTTAGGAGCCACTTTATGATATAGGTAAATATAGCCAAATCCACTTATTTTTTGGTAATCTATCTGAAGAAGAATTTATGACATACCTTTTTGAAACACTCTGTATAAAAATTAATAATTTTCTAATCCCAAAAAGAATTGACATGCGAAGTTTAAGGAGAAGAAGATTTCTCGAAGACTTGCTGAGTGATTTAAATCAACATAAAATAAGTAAATTACACTTTATTAAAATAATTTCGTATAAATTTAGTTTTAATTATATTTTACAGTTTCAATAAACATTTAAATATGTATTTGTTGTTTACCTATTGCCCATTAGTCAATTTACAAAATACCTAGATTAATTAATAAAATAACAGAAGTTACTAAAAAGAATCAATATGTATTCTTAAAATCTTACTGGCTAACAAATATTTTCTGAAAATGTTACTGACTGAATGTAAAAAGAACATTTGTAGAATTTTTAATGAACAACGCAAAAGGTGGCAACAATGGCTTTATTTTACAGCTAAATTTACTTAGCCTACGATAAGTGACCCTTACCTTTTGGGGATACAATTTCTTTGTAACCTTTTTCGAATCAGACAGGAAACCCTTTTTTGGGATGCAGTTGCAGAGCCAATCCAAGAAAAACACTACCCAAGTTAACTTTTTGTTTTGTGTCGAAAGGGGCGATTTTTTAACTGGACAATAACAATGTTTCGGAATTGGCAAAATATTTTTTATAATTATTAAGGTTGTGGTCATCAAAGGAACGAAATATAATTTATTTGTTTCTGTAAGGTTTCTTGTTCCGTTAACGTTATTTTTTAATAAAAAAGGAATTTTTATGACAAATATTTTAATGTTTTTAAATATATAACAAAACTAAAAAACATAAAAATATTATTTAAAGAGCATTATTAGCCGTTGGTGGTGTTAATGTGACGTATTTTCTGGTACATTTGGCAAGTTCCACAGCTGCTTCCTGAGGTGTAACTCCTTCTTTTTTAACTGTTTGTGACAGCTACATCGGTTTTGTCTTTTGATGGGTTAAATACTAGCAAGATTTTTCTTAAATTGTCTTGATCAATATCTCCGTTTTCGGTAAAAATATTAAATTTGTTGTTCATACATAGCAAATGTGAACCTAATTCTTCAACTTCTATTGGGTCGCCATTAAATACTTTGGCAATATTCTTTGGATCTGTATTGGTAGAAGATATGCATTCTTTGCTGAACTGTTGATACTGTGCAACAGCTGGATTCAACACAGCTCCGTTTACCTAAAAAAAAATATAGAAGCGTACTATTTTATAGTAATTCAATAACAAACAAACCAAGGAAAACATCTTTTTCATAAAACGTTTGTGGTTGGCTAAACAGCGTGTGCTTGAAAATTTTACCTGATAATTTAATGTACTGTATTTTATTTTTGCAAAGATAAGTAAGTAATTAATTACTGATATTAAATGGTTAATGGTTATTTCATTTTTTTTAATCAACTAACGAATTCCTTAGGTTGCAATTTATATTCAGGTTTGTCTTTTATAAATGTCTCGATTAGAGCGAAAATCTGCCAAAACAAATATATTTAATAAGGTTTTTAATTAAAATTAAAGCAACGTTTGTGGAATGCAATAATTAAATCATTTATAAAATAATTATATAGGCTTAAGTTCGTTTGGTTATAATAAAGTAACAGAAAGAAGTTGTAACAGTACCCTCACTTCGGGTTACTTTAGAATAAAGTTAATCGTGGGAAATAAGATGATTTTAAATAACAATTTTTATTTTAATTATCAATCTCTTTACACAATGAATATAATGTTTCAGAGGAGTTATTCTTTGAACCACGTAAACTAGCTAGCTAACACTAAACAAAGTCCTATAACTAAAAATATAATAGATTCTACTCAAAATATCTAAACGAAAGAATAATTAATAAATACTACTCAAAATATAAACTAAAGAACAATTATATATCTCTCTCTGAATTATGAAGAATTGTCTGTTATGTCCACTGTTAACATTGAGCACAGCCTGCGCGTTAGACAATCCTTGTACAAGGCAAGTGACTCAATCTAGGACAACTTCTTACAACTTAACTTACGGCTATGGTGCAGTGGTTCTGGCTTTGGCCTACTGTTCGCCTTTGGCCTACTGTTATTCTCCTTCTGATCCTCTCACAGCAGAAGCAAAAGTAGGAAATATTTACAGTTTCTTTGAATAAGACCACCTCAACTAAAGAACAATAATATAAGTAAAGTTTATTCTATATTCTAAAAGAAACTTACCGTGGTCACAATTCAAAAATACTTTACAAAATATCGAAGCGAATTCTTAATTGATGGATACAATCAGATTACATGACATAATAATAATAATAATACTCTCCCTAATTCACCCCCTTACGAGTGAATTTCAACCCCTGAAGTCGACTGAACGACTTGTGTAGGGGAAGGGACGGCTATTATTATTTGCCGTGGCGCTCCGGGGCGACTTAAGGATGATTGATGGTGCCATTTGACTTACAGGTGAGGAAATCCCGGAAAACCTCACCCACCATCATCGAGACGATAATGTATGGCGATTTTATAATCTGCATGACATATCAATAGAAATTGAATTTCTATTAATACCGCACACATCAAATCCTAAACCGAACCATGCAATTTAATTAAAAATCCACATGATCCGGTCTGGGATTCGAAGCCCAGCAGTCTCGGACTCATAAACTTGCCTATACATGAATATAAGCGCGTTAGACCGCTACACCATCGACCCGACCAGACCTAAACGTGCTAGATATCATATTTTGAATGATACAGTATGTTCAAAAGTAAATTGTCTCGTTTCAAAGACAATGCTTTAAAAATGAAATTATTCGGAAAAATATGAGTATAGGGTAGTTTTTTCAGTCTAACATATAGTCCAGTAAATGAAGGAGGAAAAAAAGGCAAAGTTGGACTTAATTACGCCCTATTTTCATCTTCCGGTTTCAAGTAGCTTTTGGTACCTCATTAAACATGAGACAAAGTTTGCCTGGAAAGCGCGTGCGATGGCAAAGAAAATGGCCCCAAAAGACCAGAAAAATAGGGTTTCAGCCAATATCTCCTAAAATATGGCAGTTAGAGATTTTCGGTTTAGATAAAAATTGAAGTTCATTTAATTTTCTACAAAAATGGTCGGAAATTTTGAGACTCGTGAAATATGCAAGTTTTGTACAAAATTTGAGCTAGGGGGTGTTGGAAATCCATTATTTTCAATGTTTTGGATTGTGGAAACCAATTGTAGATAACGCCACCACATTTTATAGATTGGGAAAATCCTCGGTGCCATAAATGAGAAATCCTGTAACCAGACACTTTTGAAGGATATTTATGTTTCCGAGGGTCTTGTTTTCCTCGCAGATGAGGCATAAAACCTGAGTATTTGTTCTACGTTGTAACTTTTTGTAACCCTGGAAGGGGCCAGTTTTTTTCAAATCTTAGTGTTTCTTCTCATCTTGTCATGTTCTTTGGAAGCTGGCAAGCCACAGAACATACAATTGGCCCTGAAATCAAATCCATCACTCCTGCGCTCTTTTTTCTTGGGGCTGCACAATTGTTGTAATTTTTTGGTCTCGTCAGAGATAAAATTGTTTCACTGGAAGCTGCCATTTCGTTTGAGAATGTAGAGTCTCCTGCAGTCTTTGTGCATTTACAAAGACGTTTGTTTTTCGAAAAAAATATGTTTATCCTTCCTTTCCTTGCTAACAAGAATCAAATTTTCTAAGCCCCGAGTTACGGTGACAGCATCCGCAGAAACGGGTTCCTTACAAAGGAAACACACTTCTGTATCAGAGTTGACCTCTATTTTTCTATAACAAGCAAAGCAGACCAAGTTTTCACTTAGAATAGTTACTTGTAAACAAATGTTCTTGAATAAAAACAACATGAACAAAAACGTCAATATTTGTTCAATATTCTTCACTTTTATAATATTTTTTTCTATAAAAATAATATTTATCAAAATAATGACAGAAAACAAACACACTTATGCCTCCAAGCGTGGCCGCATGGTTTGTAGCAGACGACACGAGCGCCACATAGAGCGCACACACGACGAACGACGGGAGGAACGAAAGTTACAAATTATAGCGTGTTACGGGTCAAAATATCGTAGCCAAGTTAAAATGGCATAGCTAGTAAACAATACACAACTTTATTTTTATTTATGATTTAATTTAACTTCTAATCTAATCCTAAATCTATTCTAAGTTATTCTAATCTAATCCTAATCTATTCTACCCTAATCTAAGTTATTCTAATCTAATCCTAAATCTATTCTAAGTTATTCTAATCTAATCCTGATCTATTCTACCCTATTCTAAGTTATTCTAATCTAATCCTAATCTATTCTACCCTATTCTAAGTTATTCTATTCTAATCTAACCTATTCTACATTAATCTACTTTATAATCTAGGCCTATTTTATTTTGGATTTGTTTTACTTATAGAAACCGTTGTATGAATCGTAAGACTTCTAATTTTGTAGCTTATTCTACTTTCAACCCTATTCTAACCTTTCCTATTATTTTATTAGAATGATTACTTTTAATGAATACTTTAGAACCCAAAGAAATGCCTGTTGCTACAAGAAATAGTACACATAACTCTTTTACATATCTGATGGTTTTAAATATAGGTTAATTATTATTTGTTTTTGTTTACATTCACTTTTATGAAGTGTCACATTCTTCTTTTACTGAGGGGCCACACTCTTACCAGACTTTGTCCTGCTAGTCTTTAATAGTCAAGACCTTCCATTGACTTCCCACCATTTTGGGAACTTCCTTTTATCAGTTTTTATCTGCTCAACTTTGTGGTAGCATGTGCTATTTTCTCTAGTGTATCTAGGATTTGACTTGAGCTAAAAGAATAAAAACTGTGAAACCAGTCTAAAGAATTAGTTGATAAATCTTTGTGATTTCTACACCATTCGGTGGATTTTATATAATCTTTGACTGTGATTCCGACAAAAAGGTCGCCCTACACCTAAAGGTGAGTGTCTAATATTAAATATAATTATTCTCTTACATGGCTTACCTATCGCTTAAGGCTGTTTATATGTGTGGCTTACACTAATCCTTCTTACAGACCTTCAATTTCACCTTCAACTTTAACTTCAACTTCAGCTTCTACTTTAATACTTATTTTACTTATATCTATCTGGGTATTTCTTTCTGTGGGATATATCGACTTTCCTTCGGACTAATACACTTCCTTCCAAGCTTTCTTCGTGGTACTATCACTAAACTGCTACAGCTTTTGAACACTGCCAGCTAACATTCTACAAGGATTGGGTGCATGTTTAGCTAGTTTAGGAAGCCAGGTACCCCAGAACCAACCCCTACAGCAAATCGGCTGGATCTAGCCCTCCTTTTACAGACAGGCCAGAGGTACGACGCAATATTGAGGACGACGGGACAACAGAGATATAAAGTAAGACTATTCCTTATAGCCAAGGGCCCCATTTATCGTTGGTATCACATGACCTCAACTGGGGTCCACTAATTGTGATTTTACCTACAAAGGTTTTGAGATAATCGAGATAATTCACGTAATTTACCTTAGAAATTGATAATATTAGGGTTATATATAGAGGTAAAGCCATTTTATAAAGCTTACTTACAATTCTGGATTACCGTTTGTAACATTTAGGCCTATTTGCGGACGTGTACCTCGGATTGTAACGATAATTTGTAGATACAATTGCATGATATATATAATTATTATTTTACCTACTGAATCACGGCGTGGTATCTTTTTTTTTATATTCAGATTATATATATATTTTTTTTGTTACTCTTCGGTACATCTAACCTCTGAAATAAATGTCAGACGGTGTCAAAAATTAAATTGAATTTATAAAAATTTGCGTTGTGTCTAAGAACCCGACCCTACTCTCCCGAATTTTATAAAACTGAGCTAATAAAAAGAAATAACCCTTCCATCCCCTATAAATCTGAAGGAGAAAAGGTAATAAGCGTGTACATTTAGATACACTGGTGTTTTCCCGGGGTATCAAAGTTATGACTTATACATCGATGGAAAGGTGGGAATTTCCCCGTTACACTAGTTAAGGTGTTAAAATGTTAGAAATAGAGAGCAGGGAGAAAAAACCACCAAAAAAAAGTGCGTTTTTTCCTTGAGCCCGCGTTTTCCAAAAATGGACGACTTGGTCAAAAAAAGTAATTTCACAATCAAAAAGTAGACGTTCTTACCTTTCGAATGATGTATCATAGAGACCCATCCGATCATGTATTAATTTTTAATTGATGGTTTTTCATAAAATTTCCCCGCGCTCCGAAAACAGCAAAAATTTGGGATTCAATAAACAAAGATTAAATGAAAATTCCAAAAAATTAGGGTATACAAACTTCACGGTTGACAAAGGACCTTATAAGGACCCATAATCAAGAAAATTTTGAGGAAATTAGTGCAATACAAAAAAAATAGGAACAAATTCCTGGCGAGGTCAAAATTGCCTGGGAGCAGAAAGTTTGACACGTGTTCCGACATGGCCAAAAGAGTCAAGCGTGACTCAAGTCACAGCGTATGATAGCAACATAAACTTTGAATCATGAGAAAATATGCATTTTTAACAAAGTTATTGAATAATTTGTCCCCCCGCTGATGTGTAAATACACTAACTGTGCTCTCCGGCATACAACACAGAAGCTCATTATTCAAGGCGCGCTTGGTGCCGTTTTTCTTGAAACTGGGCAAATTTTCGAAAAAAATCATAGGGAAAATTTTTGTAGAACATTAACTGAAATTCAATTTTTATCTGAACCAAAAATCTCTAACTGCCATATTTTAGGAGATATTGGCTGAAAACCTATATTTCTGGTGGCCTTGGGGCCATTTTCTCGGCCATCGCACGCGTTTTCCACGCAAACTTTGTCCCATGTTTAATAAGGTACCAAAAGCTACTTCCAACCGGAAGATGAAAATAGGGCGTAATTAAGTCCAACTTTATCCCTTTATTTATTGGACTAATAGGCATTTATAAAAGACAAATCTTGTTTCATTCAAAAACTTTTAATTTATTAGAATAAAATGAAATAATCATTAACCATTTAATGTCAGTTTTTAATTACTTATAAATACGTTTGCAAAAATAAAATTCAATACATTATATTCTTAAATCCATTTTCAAGCACACTCTGTATAGTCAACACCTAATGTTTTAATGGTCAGAAGAATGACAAAAAAATTACAAAAATAGAACGAATTTCAGGATCAAATGCATTATATTTAGGTCAGTTTTTGGACAAGAAATGTTCTATTCAAAAGTTCCTTTTTCTGACCCCAAAATCAACATTTTAAAAAATTTATAAAATCGTTCGAAACCCAGGATACAATAAATTAAGAGCCGTGTACTTTTAAAAATTTACTGTTAAAAATATAAATTTAAATTTATTTAAATCGATATAACAAATCGATATTGTAATAGTCTTTTTTAAAAATAACTATAAAATAATAAAAAATTAATTTATCACAAAGAAGTTAGAGTGACACAATAACAAATAATATAAAGGTACATCGTATTAATAAATAAGCAAATGAATAATTTAATTGTAGTTATCTATGAAAATTTAATAACTTGTATAAAATTTGAAATTATGTTTTGAATTTAACAATAACTTACCGCTGCAATAACACCAGCACAGAACAATAAAACGGTTAAGGAATTCATGTTGATTTTAAAGTTATTTGACAGTTATCGCATGTCGTCAATAGTTTTTATACTAAAAATTATTTAGGTTAACTTATCATTTTATTTTTTGTTGTTCAAACTGGAGGACGTTAAAGGAGAGTATGTTAAAGGTTAATAGTTAAGAAATAAAAAAACATTTAAATAATTTATCAATATTTTGATTATTATTAAAAACATTTTGAAAAAAAAGATGGTATACCTACCTAGGGCATATTTCTTGCTTCTCACTTCAATAATTACAAAATTAGTGATCGACGTACGATCTGTCATTATTCAAAAAATGCTTCTATTGGGATCTGAAGATAAGCGATACGCCCTCTACTGTGAACTAAAAGTTATGGCAGTTGACACTTGACCGTCTGTGTTCTGTCAAGTTTTATTTATCAGGTCATGTCAATAAATGTTATTTTAAAATTTAACAAGCATTTTGTTTGAAATATCTTTTTTAATAATAAGCTAATTCTTTAAATTTTTATCATAAATTTTAAAATATTATATTAATTGGACTATTCGCTCCGTGCGCGACCGCAGCGCCAATTCGTTTTGGTATTAATGGACTATTTCTGTATATACTAACAAATACAATTTTTAATAGAATTCGTAATTAAAAAGTATATATGTTAGTTTTAATAAAAGTATATTGATTTGCAAAACAAGTAAAACATTAATTTATTGGTATTATATATTTTTAACGCTTAAATTAAAGAAAATTATGTATAATCAATGAAAATCAATAATAAAATATAGGCAGGCAACAGTATTTACTGGAAAATGTATGAGAAGTTGCCTAAGTCTAATAAGTTGAAGAATTAGCCTGTTGTCAAAATAAAAAAATCTGATGTGTCCAACACATGACTTTCCTATCTAGTTTTTATAGGCTTTTTACGGTTATTTTATACAACCTATTGCAGCATCTCTATAAATGTTTAGATGATAAACTAAATATATACATTGTCCACATACATCTACCTCGAAACATTTTTCTATAGATATTCATTGAAAACGAAAATACTGAAAAATTTAAATTTAGCACTTTTCCATTACAGTCCATTTTAGAAAAATCATGTATAAACAAAAATTATAGAGATCGCTATCGCAAACAACTTTTAGTTCAACAATTTTCATAAAAATCAGAATTTTGCACATTTTGTCAAATTTCTCGAATACGGACCATTTCAGGAAATTTTGACATAAAACAAAAATTATAGATAATAATATTAGAAGTAACTTTTATTTGAACAATTTTCTCCTCCAAACATAAATAACAGATATATTCAATAAAATATAAAAACAGCCTCCCATAAAGTACCCCCCTAGATGTTCCGACTTTGTCCAAAATCTAATCATTTCACGTCAGGCCGAAATAAATCTTAAGTTTAAAATTTAATGTTTTTTTATTTATCCGTTTTTGAGTTTTCTTCAAAATTCGAAATTTACACATTTTCTCAAATATCTCGAATACGGTCCATTTTAGAGAAACTATGTATAGAATAAAAATTATAAAAAATTATATTGCAAACAACTTTTGTTTGAACAATTTTTATAAAAAAATATTTTTTTTACATTTTGTCAAATTTCTCGAATACAGACCATTTTAGGAAAATTTTGTATAAAACAAAAATTATAGATAATTATATTATAAGTAACTTTTATTCAAAGAATTTTCTTCTCCAAACGTAAATAACAGATATATTCCATAAAATATAAAAATGACCACCTATAAAGTACCCCCTTAGATGTTCCGACTCTGCCCAAAATCTAATCAGCTCATTGGACGCTGTAACGAAGCTTAAGTTTAAAATTTGGTGTTTTTCTGTGTATCGGTTCATGAGTTATGCGTTATACACACACACACACACACACACACACACACACACACACACACACACACATACACACACACACACACACACACACACACACACACACACACACACACACACATCATCGCGAAAATAGTTAAAACGGATTCAGGGGACCTCAAAACGTAAAAATCCGTCGAAAACTCGAGGTCGAAAAAAAATCATGATTCCTATACTTTCCTTATATCTGTATACAGATAGGAAAGTAAAAATACCATTTAATAATAGCATGAAGTTAATATGTATAAAAAAAGGATCGCTATTTATATTTTCATTTTTGTTCGAAAGAAAACAGAATGAATGATTAAAACTGGTTTCTTATCAGTAAGTCACAAAATTACATTCCATTTACATATAATAATCAAAGGCAGAAATCTTGAAATCTAGTCCTTGCTGAATGAACATTTAAGAATAAAAGGACATTAAAGAACATCGCAAAATGATAATTTATTGTTTATTTAAAACCCTTCAAGTTTCTGATGTCTACTATTTACAGCATTACTGTTATTATTACAAAAATAAAGGTAATTTTTCTTCTTATTGTACATCTATCCATTTATTTCTTTGATTTAATTTCCACTTTGCTACTGACATTTTTTATATAAGTTTCACTGTTTTTTTTTGCTAGTATTTGTACAATTGTCAACACAGCAACTCCGGTTGCTTATTGTATTGTCTGTACCTACTTTTTTGAAAAAAAGTAAAATGTTTACATGTATTTGATATGCCAAAATTACAAAATATCGCCCTAAAATGCACGAATTATCCGCAGCTAGCGCTAGTATCGCTTTTGCTTCCCTTTCCATGACTTCGCACGGTAGCCCAATCGGATTAGTATTTTAGATTCTGAAAAATTCGAAGCAGCAATTTTCCTTCGGAATTCGTTGGAGGGGGTCTCTGGTAGTCTAAATTCAAAAAGTTGGGATTCCAAAGTTGTCGTTACCTCCGCCATCTTGATTTAAAGGGTTATTTTTTGTATCTTGAATAACTCATTTATTTTCAATTTTACACGGAAAATAGTTTTTACAAAAGTTATTTAAAATTAAATTTCCTAAAATTCTGTTTTTTTTGTACGATCTATTTTTTTCGATTTATACCCGAAAAGAGGGGGTGAATTTTTGGTTATAGAATAACTCGTTTATTTTCAATTTTACGAGAAAAATTGTTATAAACAAAGTTGTTTAAAATTAAATTTCCTACAATTCTGTTTTTTTTTTGTACGATCGATTTTTTTCGATTTATACCCGAAAAGAGGGTCGCACGTTCACGGTAAAGGAAAAGAGGGGTGTAAATAATCAGTTTATCGAACAGTATAATTTTTACAATTAAAAAAATGAAATTTATTTTCTTTTCAGTACACTTTTAAAAGTCTATCGAAACGTCAATGACGTCTGTTTGGAACGTTTAGCCGATGGATCGGCCAAGTTTTCGTCGTTCGATTCTTCCTCGTAATTGTCGACGAATTCGTCCGGAAGCTCAGGAGGTTCGGGGGTGACTTGCTCTGAGCGGTTTTCGTCACTACCAAGGTCATCTTCATCCAGCAACTCTCGAATTGAAACAACGTTTTCGCACGTTTCTCCGTTGCAGTTGTGGCAATGATAAGAGTTTACCCCCACTCTTCTCAGGGATAAATACAAAAAAATCGAGCGTACAAAAAAAAACAGTATTGTAGGAAATTTAATTTTAAACAACTTTGTTTATAACAATTTTTCTCGTAAAATTGAAAATAAACGAGTTATTCTATAACCAAAAATTCACCCCCTCTTTTCGGGTATAAATCGAAAAAAATCGATCGTACAAAAAAAAAGCAGAATTGTAGGAAATTTAATTTTAAATAACTTTTGTAAAAACTATTTTCCGTGTAAAATTGAAAATAAATGAGTTATTCAAGATACAAAAAATAACCCTTTAAATCAAGCTGGCGGAGGTAACGACAACTTTGGAATCCCAACTTTTTGAATTTAGACTACCACAGACCCCCTCCAACGAATTCCGAAGGAAAATTGCTGCTTCAAATTTTTCAGAATCTCAAGCCTGTTCTTCACCTAATCCGATTGGGCTACGGAGCAAATAAGTGGCATATCAGTGAAAAACACACTTGTGTGCCTGAAGGTAATATAGAAGGTAATGGAGGAGAACAAGTGTAAAGTTAATAGGAATATTGTTCCACTATTTCCTGTACGCGACAACGAAAAGATTGTATTCTGTTTTCAGGTATTTTCCTTACGTGCGGCAGCAAAACTTTTGAAAAAGAGGTTCGTTTAATCTAAGCACTTATTCTCCTCCAATATTTATCAATCTCATTGCGATTGCAATGCAACTTCTCCCTTCTGTCCCAAATAGGGGGTCTTTCAAAAATGGTAGCAATAAGTGCCTACTTATCCATGGTACAATCACTAAACCAGCGCGTACTAAAAGAAGAAATAAACTAGATTGTCATTCCGTCAGATGCGAGAACGCAGGTTAGTGCTGGTTACTGGCGCCGACTTGTTTTAACTGTGTACTTGTCAATTTAAAAACATGCATTCATTTTTAAAGCTTATGAGCGCTGCTCGGCGCTGATTACCGGTAAGCGGAAATCTGCTTCCACTGTGTTTGTACACTATAGCTTTCGGCACTGATCAGTGCCTTCTTCAGTAGTTTTTTTGTTATTATTTGTACATTATTTTTTTTTACAACATCAAATTCGTTTTCAGTACAACGTTGGGATGTGTCGTTATAATGGGCGTGTTTAATGTAAATGAATTTAACGAATCTAATACTATTACGTGTTTAAGCACAAAAAACTTTTTTTTTCATACAATAAATTCTTTAAATAGATAATAAATAATAAAGTTATAGCACTTTTAAAAGTTCACTTTTAAATCAATTATTTAAAACGTTCCATTTTTGCGCCATTAACCGCCTTTTTCCATTGGTCACTAAAGAATCTGTGATATCGTAACACTAGACAGTTGATTGTTATCTTTTTCTAATAGTGACATTTATGATAGTTATCTCTGTCTAAAATCGGATTAAAATAATGTTTTCATTTCTCATGATACAAAAATGACTTTCGTTTTTTTGACATTTGTACATATTCAAATTCATCATTGACTTTAATCCCTTTTCAGCCTTGATTTTACTTTCAAAGTGCAGATAGCGTTACCATTTTAAATCTTTTATACGTGCAAGCGAATTTAGTATAGCCGAGACATCAGGGACTGGAGTTGAGATTGCTTATTACTGATAAGTCCTTATGTAGATGAAACCATAGATAAATTAATAAAACAAGATGAATTCTTTAAATGTACGCCACTGTCAACACGTGGTAGTTCCCAGCATACTATTAGTTAGCGCCACCGTCGCAATAGTATGAAAGCGATGTTGCCGGTTTCCGTAAACTTTCATGAGATGACAGTTATTTCAAATTCATCTTACTTTAATTTTTTATCAATCTACATGCGCACCATCGCATCCATACAATGTCCATACTATTGCTGGGATTTTTAAAAGAAGGAGTTGACAACCTCGTAAAAAATGAAAACCGTGATGGCGGAAGGCCAAAGGCCAAATATGATAATGAAATGTTAAAACTTATTTTATGAATTATGATGAAAGTTCCAAAGATCGGCTAGTTATTTTTAAGAAGATAAACAGTGTTGATTTGATGTAATTAGTAAGTATTAGCAATTTAATTTAATATTAAAGGTGTGTAGATTTATTTAAGGACTTTGTTTATCATTCTTTTCTTAACCTTATATAATTTCATATTTCATAGATTTTCAATTGTTTTTATATTTGAAACAAGAAATGTCTGGCCCGGGTATAGTCAAGTATTCTCGAGAGTATTCTTGTTCAGCTCCTAATTGTTTAAATAAGTATTATTCTAAAATTCAGAAAGTTGGATACCTAATCAAATATTAAACCTTTTTCATTTTCCTTCCCATATTAAAATTTGCCAGAACTGGTTTAAGACTTTAAATTTAACTTTAGATAATAATACCCGCTATCTTTGTCCGGACCATTTTTGCCTGAGTCTTAGTAGGGTTTCATCAAAACGTAAACTGTTAGTTGGACATTCTGTACCAATTTCATTAGATAATTGTGCATCCAGTAACCAGTTCCAATATACAACCTGAGAATTAGATTTTAGAATAAGTTGAGGCCGAAGCACAAATATAGCAGCATAAAAAAAAAACAAGAAATTAGTTGCAAACTTAATAATTAGTGATGAACAATTTGAACGACCCTTGAAACGAAGAAAAACAATATATAAATAAATAAAAGTAGTCATAAATTTAAGTCCTAAAGAGAAAAAGTTGTATTTTATTAATATTTGATAAGAGAAATTGTTCAATAAGACATATGTACACTTTTTGTTTTGTTTTTATAGGAAACACTGGACACCCAACAAAATATGGTCCATTTTTCCAAGAATGGGGGAGACTACCTACTATTTATTTTACTTACAATTGTTATTTACAGTTGAGCTTATGTATGTATGTATTACTGTATAATAAATAATTAAAATATATGTTTCAAATATTTTATTTTAATGTAAACATTTTTTGTTTATATTTTTTGGGGTTTTATTACGAAAAAAAACTAATATTTATGTTAAATGCATTATTTTGATGTAAATATTAGTTTTTTTTAGAGTAATGAATGCCAAAAAAATGTAAATAAATAATAAATTATATTTGAATGAACCGCGGTTCGCTTAAAGCTCTTCTTTTTTTTATTCTTCTCTTTCTTATTCGGCCTCTAACTAGCAAGTCAATCAGCCAGTGTAGTTCAAAAAAAATCCGTTCCATACTAATTCGCAGCACTGTTTGTTTCCAAAAATTAACACGGGATCCGACTATCTTCTTTATTAATTTATCTATGGATGAAACAGATTGCAGAATGACGTTTTTCTTAGGAAGTAAAATCAAAGTTAGACCGTTGACAATTACTGTCTATCTGTGTTATTTTTTTCTGTGGCGGTATTAGCCAATGAAGTAGTTGTTTTCAGGAGAAAAAGGGTCGTTTAATGTTTCTGTGACACAAAATTTAAGTTTTTTTTCTTTTTTTACTTAAATTTTATTTTTTTTTACTAATTTCTTTTAATTCTAAAACATTATTTCACTTACAATTATATCATGATGTTTTGTAAGTTTTGATTTACCATTTACGTCACTTTTTAATAGACGAAGAATTGTATAATACAAAAATGTATAATTTTTTAAATAAATATCAGAACCAAATAAAACAATATTTATATAATTAATTTTTTAATGAGAAAACGTTAAAATATTTTTTAAACAGCATTGGCATTTGGACGTAGTAACGTGACGTAATTTCGAGTACATTTAACAAGTTCCACTGCTACTTCTTGGGGTGTGGCTCCTTTTTTAACTAAACAGTTTTTGAGAACTAGATCATGTTTGTCGTGTTCTGGGGTGAATACAGCTAAGGCCTTCCTAAACTTTTCTTGATCAATATCCCCGTTATCGTTTTCAATGTTAAATTTATTGAATATGCACAGCACATGATCACCTACTACGTTAGCTTCTATTGGATCGCCGTTAAATATTTTTTCAATCTCCTTTTCATCTGTATTGGTAGAGGATTTGCATTCGTTGGAGAACTTTTGATACTGTGCAGCTGGATTTAACACAGCCCCGTTTATCTGAAAAGTATGTTAAATATTTACATAGTGATCTATTTTAAAGCGATTCAATAAAAAATTTAACATATACCTAAATAGAATCAATCGACTTTCTGTAAACTTTGTACTATTAGTTTTAGGAAAAACGTAAATTTTGAGTATTTTAATTTACTAGTGGTTAACGTACATTTGTAATTTAAGAAATTAAATTTAGCCATTATTAGCATAGCTTGAATTGGCAAAAATTTATGTGGTATATCATTTAATTTTCTTATAGATAATTTTCGAAAGATCGTTCTATAAGTATCAGAAACAACAATTTCTATAAGTGTAAATATAATAATTATTATTATTATTAATTAAATTAAGTAAAAACAAAAATGAGGGCCGAACTGCGGGAGTCAACTTTATTTAAATACGTTGTTTGTCTGTTGAGTGTTGCCTGTTTCCTTGTTAGTTTTATATCCATCCGTATACCATACAAGACCGCTGAGCAAGTATTTGTCTACCTTCCTATATACCTCGTTCCAGTTATAATTAACCTGGAAAAGTCTGTTGAAGGTTAGTCGTGGTGTCATGAAATCTGATCCTATGTTTATTACAGGATCATTAACTTTATATGTTATTCTGGTATATTTTAACCCCAGTGGGGTTTAGTTGTTGAAGATGTCCAGTGTGTATGCAATCATTCTGTCCTTCACTTGGTGATTGGTTCATGGCCCAAGTCTTATATAATAGATAATAAATAATTCTTCACTCATAGTTTACATCTTATTAACTATACCCTGTCATAAGTTTACCCAAGAATTTTTTCGTTATAATACTTACCACCACCTGTAGAGGCCTTAACTTGACAGGTCTCCTTTCAAAAAATGTTAGTTTTCTTAAAAAACAACAATGTTTAAAATAGGCCTTATCTTTTAATCTGTTTAATGTATGTGATTTGTTTTTGTATAGTCTTGAATATTTTAAATTTTTACTATAATTGACTAATATTTGTTTTTTCAAATATTTTTAACTTTTTATTACGTGTAAATCTGTTCATTTTACAATTTATTTCAACCCAAAATTGATGAAACTTGTAGTATTCCCTAGTGGATGGAGAGTATGGTGAGTTTTCTCTTTTTTATTATTTTATATATCGTTTTGTTTCCAAGTTAACACACCTTACCCCACATATTCTCCTTTCCACTAGGCGAGCCTGAAGAGGAAGTGATGACACTTCGAAACCGGTCGCACTCAATGTTTTGTTAAACAATTAAACATTGACTTTCCTTGTGAGATATAAAGGACTTTTTCTCACCCTTCACCTTAAGATACCTCTGTTTGATTTCATGGTATTTCATTGCGATTAGTCAGAATTTGTAGCATATTAGTGACTCTTTGAAAGTGCCCACTAACATTTTATTGAACTTGAACCCGTCTCATCGGTGTCGGCCTTAATAGCTCAATTTTATTAAAAATTGTTATATTTTCGTTCTTATTAACAAAACAGTTGAAAGTTCTAAAAAAATTGTCAAAAAACAATTTGTAGGAAGTTAAATTTCCTACAAAATTACCCCTGTATGGATTTTCTGAGGTGCGTAGTCCAAAAGGTATAAACAGTTTAATGTATTAAAATCTAAAAAAAATTAAATTTTTACTTTCCTATCTGTATACAGATATAAGGAAAGTATAGGAATCATGATTTTTTTCGACCTCGAGTTTTCGATGGATTTTTACGTTTTGAGGTCCCCTGAATCCGTTTTGACTATTTTCGCGATGATGTCTGTCTGTGTGTGTGTGTGTGTGTGTGTGTGTGTGTGTGTGTCTGTGTGTGTGTGTGTGTGTGTGTGTCTGTATAACGCATAACTCATGAACCGATACACAAAAAAACACCAAATTTTAAACTTAAGCTTTGTTTCAGCGTCCAATGAGCTGATTAGATTTTGGGCAGAGTCGGAACATCTGGGGGGGTACTTTATAGGTGGTCATTTTTATATTTTATGGAATATATCTGTTATTTACGTTTGGAGAAGAAAATTCTTCAAATAAAAGTTACTTCTAATATAATTATCTATAATTTTTGTTTTTTGCAAAATTTTCCTAAAATGGTCCGTATTCGAGAAATTTGACAAAATGTAAAAAAAATATTTTTTTATAAAAATTGTTCAAATAAAAGTTGTTTGTAATATAATTCCCTATAATTTTTATTCTATACATAATTTCTCTAAAATGAACCGTATTCGAGATATTTGAGAAAATGTGTAAATTTCGAATATTGAAGAAAACTCAAAAACGGATAAAGAAAAAAACATTAAATTTTAAACTTAAGGTTTATTTCGGCCTGAAGTGAAATGATTAGATTTTGGACAAAGTCGGAACATCTAGGGGGGTACTTTATGGGAGGCCGTTTTTATATTTTATGGAATATATCTGTTATTTATGTTTAGAGAAGAAAATTGTTCAAATAAAAGTTACTTCTAATATTATTATCTATAATTTTTGTTTTATGTTAAAATTTCCTGAAATGGTCCGTATCCGAGAAATTTGACAAAATGTGCAAAATTCTGATTTTTATGAAAATTGTTGAACTAAAAATTGTTTGCGATATCGATCTCTATAATTTTTGTTTATACATGATTTTTCTAAAATGGACCGTAATGGAAAAGTGCTAAATTTAAATTTTTCAGTATAAAAACTAGATAGGAAAGTCATGTGTTGGACACATCAGATTTTTATTTTTATTGTACGCTTTTTTAACAAAATTAACTTCATTCAATTATCTTTTAAAACAAAAAGCACATGAACTTGATTGAAGTAGTAAATGAAGTAGAATTAAATATTGAAATGTAATTTGTTGAATAAAAATTATATGTTTATAACACTGATTTTTTTATCGTGGAATTTTCATATGTACGCAAGTAAAACGTATGATGTAGAGAACAAATCGTCTTAGATTGAAACAGTTTTAATCAGAGCCTACTTCATTGTTCCCCTGCAGTACAATTATAAGTTTTTTTTAAGGTTAACAGTGCCGTAGATAGAAAGAAAAGTTACAGTTGCTAAAAATTATTTTTCCAATTTTACTTGTTTTTAAAGCTAATTTTGGTATATTTTTATACTAAGAACAAAAAAAAAATTATTTACTCTTGAATTGAAAATTTTTTTCAATATCTCTTTCCGATATTACAGATATTTTTCTAAAAAACAATTTGAATGAGGTTAATTTTGTTAAAAAAAGCGCAAGTTGAAAAATAATAGAAAAAAATTTAAATTTCATATTTTTTTTTTTTAGATTTTAATACCTTAAACAGTTTATACCTTTTGGACTACGCACCTCAGAAATTCCATACAGGAGTATTTTTGTAGGAAATTTAATTTCTTACAAATTGTTCTTTGACATTTTTTTTATAACTTTTACTGGTTTGTTGATAAGAACGAAAATATAACAATTTTTGAGAAAATTGGGCTTTCAAGTACAAAAAAATGTTGGTGGGCACTTTCAAAGAGTCACTAATATACTACAAATTCCACGAAATCAAACGGAGGTATATTAATTTAAATTAAAAAATCATGATTTACATGTTATTTAAATGGGAAATATACATGGATCGAAAATAACCACTTAAAATTAAAATTAAGGGCTCAAATTTTTAGAATGTTTATTTTTTTCGATAAAAGAAACAAAATTATGTATCAGCGTAACAAAAAAAAATATTCGTTTTAAATGGAGCACCCTAATATGTAATGAGGTTTTTAATTAAAATTAAAGCAACGTTTGTGGGCACTTATTAAATCATTTACAAATTAAGTATATTGGCATAAAGTTCGTCTGGTTATAATATCAAAAATTATTTAAAATAAAATGATAGGGCTTTATTATAAAAAAATTAAAAATTAAAATTAAAAAAATATGAAGAATATCATTCCAAAAAACTAAAGGTACAAGGTAGTATTTTCGGTATATTCTAGGCATTTATGAAAGACAAATCTTGTTTCATTTAAAAATTGCTAATTAATTAAAACAAAATAAAATAATCATTTACCATAATTATGTCAGTATTTAAATACTTATAAATATGTTTGCAAAAATAAAATTCAATGCATTAAATTCTGACATGCATTTTTCAAGCATAACCTGTGCCTGTACAGTCAATACCAAATGTTTTATTTAAATCTTGGTTTCAAGAAGGACATATCAAAAAATCACGAAAATCGAGCGATTTCAATTATCAAATGCATTATATTTAGGTCAGTTTTTGGGACAACACAGAAATGTTTTATTCAAAAGTTGTTTTTTCTGATCCAAAAATCAACATCTTAATAAATTAATAAAATCCTTCGAAACTCAGGATAACATGGGCTTTTTTAAAATTTACTGCTAGAAATATGTATAAATTTAAATTTATTTAAATCGATATTGCAAATCGATAAAAAAGTAATTAATCACAAAGAAAATAGAGATAATAACAAATAATATAAATGTACATCGTATTAATAAATAAGTAAAGGAATAATTTAATTATATTGTAGTTAACTTTAAAAATTTAATAACTTGTATAAAATTTGTAAGCATGTTTTGAATTTAAAACTAACTTACCGCTGCAATAACACCAGCACAGAACAATAAAACGGTTAAGGAGTTCATGTTGATTTGAAAGTTATTTGACAATTTTCGCATGTCGTTAATTGTTTTTATACTAAAAATTATTTAGGTTTACTTATCATTTTATTTTTTGTTGTTCAAACTGGAGGACGTTAAAGGAGAGTATGTTAAAGGTTAATAGTTACGAAATAGAAAAACATTTAAATAGTTTATGAATATTTCCATTATTATTAAAAATATATTGAAAAAAAAAGATGGTATAGAATAGAATACTTTTATTTAACTTTGTTACTTAGTGTTACATAAATTTTTAGCAGGTCAAAAAAAAAACAGAATAAACAATCATAAAATTAAAAATCTGATGTGTCCAACACATGACTTTCCTATCTAGTTAATATAGGCTTTTTCCGGTTATTTTGTTCAACCTATTGCAGCATCTAGCTCTTTCTTTAAGCTACAGTATAACTAAAAATGTTAGAAATATACCTCGACTCAATAACCTGACGCACCAGTATAACTTTAAAAGAGCAAACTTTCCTCTTTTATGTGAACTACTTAGGGATTGTAATTGGGAATACTTAGGTTGTATACAAGATGTTAATACAGCAGTAGATTATTTCTATCACAATCTCTACGATATTTTTGATATTTGTGTACCCAAATTTCAATCTTTAAATGGCAAACGTAATACTTACCCTGCGTGGTTTACCCCGGAAATAATTCGCTTATTAAGGGAAAAGAAAATTCATCATAAATTAAAAACCAGATCGAACTCCCATCTAAACGAATTTAAAAGATTGAGATCACTATTAAAGCATTTAATAAAACAAGAGCATGCATCTTACATGCAAAATATGGAAATTAATATTGCACTAAATCCTAATCTATTTTGGAACTTAGTAAATAATAATAAAAAATCAAGCACTCAAAACACTTTCTTTAAAAGGAGTAACGGAGAACATATTAAAGATAAAAAAGCCATAGCTGAAGGATTCGCCAACTATTTCAAATCAGTTTTTGAGCAAAAATCTTCAGAGTATAATATTAGTTCCTTTCTCTTAGATTCTACCAAAAATTTTAATACCCCACAATTAAACTTTAGTCGATTTACAGTGCAGGATATCAACAATGCCTTTGCTAGATTAAAGCCCAAATTCTCCGCAGGTCCTGATGGGATTCCAGCATATATTTTTAAAGCATGCCGCGATTACCTTGCTTATCCACTAATAGTGCTTCTGCAAAAAGCTCTGGATAATGATGTTTTCCCAATAAAATTTAAATCAACCAAAGTATCACCTATTCACAAAAATAATAATAATAGTCGCCAAACTCAACCCACTCACTTTATCTACACGATGGGAAACTTAAATTTAAAAAGGGTAAACGAGGTAGAGGACTTGGGTATTACATTCTCTAGTACTCTTAACTTTACTTCACATGTCCAAAAAATCGTCTCTTTGGCAAATAAATCAGTAGGATTTGTAAAACGTACAACATCAGAATTTAATAATATTGATTCCATTAACTATTTATTTTGCTCTCTTGTAAGAAGTAAACTAGAATTTGGTAGCGTAATCTGGAATAATATGATAAATAAAACTCTAACTTGCCGAATTGAAACGATTCAAAATAAATTTTTGAAATATTTATATTACAAGAGGTACAAAACCTCTCCCGGTCATATGTCTTACCAACCAATAAGATCAGAGTTCAAAATTATAAAACTGGAGAATAGAAGACTCCATCGCAGTTTGATACTTCTATATAAATTATGTAACCATCTGATTGATTCTCCTAATCTATTAAGTAAAATCAACTTTTATGTGGCTGATCACAGAACTCGTCCCAGGGCACAACTATTTTTCACTGAAACCAACAACAACAACACTTTAAATCGAATATGCCAGTTATAACACATACATCACAGATCTCTGTCCTGGATTATTTGGAATAAAAATGTCCTTGTTTAAAAAATATATCACATCCAATGTACGTATTACCTAAATATACAAAATATCTCTGTCTTTGTACTAGTCTCCTATATTAAACTAGATCTTAACACATTATATTATTATTGTAATAGTATTATATGAAAATTGTTACGTCATTATAAAATAACTTTTGTTACAGGAACATGTAATTAGGGCAACCTGTATGTTTCTGATAAATAAATAAATAAATAAATAAATAAATAAATAAATAAATAAATCTCTATAAATGTTTAGAGGATAAACTAAATGTATGCATTGTCCACATACATCTACCTCGAAACATTTTTCTATAGATATTCATTGAAAACGAAAATACTGAAAAATTTAAATTAAACTCTTTTCCATTACGGTCCATTTTAGAAAAATCATGTAGAAACAAAAATTATAGATATCGATATCGCAACTTTTAGTTCAACAATTTTCATAAAAATCAGAATTTCGCACATTTTGTCAAATTTCTCGGATATGGACCATTTCAGGAAATTTTAACATAAAACAAAAATTATAGATATTAATATTATTTAATCAATTTTCTTGTCTAAACATAAATAACAGATATATTCCATAAAATATAAAAACGGCCTCCCATAAAGTACCCCCCTAGATGTTCCGACTTTGTCCAAAATCTAATCATTTCACTTCAGGCCGAAATAAACCTTAAGTTTAATATTTAATGTTTTTTTCATTATCCGTTTTTTGAGTTTTCTACAAAATTCTAAATTTACACATTTTCTTAAATAATCTCGAATACGGTCCATTTTAGAGAAATTATGTAAATATAAAAATTTGGATAATTATATTACAAACAACTTTTATTTAAACAATTTTTATAAAAAAATATTTTTTTGACATTTTGTCAAATTTCTCGAATACGGACCATTTTAAAAAAAAATTTGTATAGAACAAAAATTATAGATAATTATATTTAAAAGTAACTTTTATTTGAAGAATTTTCTTCTCCAAACGTAAATAACAGATATATTTCATAAAATATAAAAATGACCAATTATAAAGTACCCCCCAGATGTTCCGACTCTGCCCAAAATCTAATCAGTTCATTAGACGCTGGAATAAAGTTTAAGTTTAAAATTTGGTGTTTTTCTGTGTATCGGTTCATGAGTTATGCGACCTACAGACACACACACACACACGCACGCACGCACGCACGCACGCACGCACGAACCCACGCACCCACACACACACACACACACACACACACACACACACACACACACACACACACACACACACACACACACACACACACACACACACACACACCGGGAAATCATTGTGCGGCCACATGACACTGACGTGAATTATGGGGACAATGAAATTTATGCATGTACTTTATGTAGAATCTTTTAATCTATTTATAGCTATTGAAATTATTTAGATACACTCCTTCTTTTGCCATTTTTTATGCTAACAGACTTAGGGGGTCAGTCCTCTTAAAGATAGATATGGTTATATATTACGGTATAATGTCTAATGTGGCCATACACACTCCCTTACACACTTTTTTGTCAAGGTCGCACTTTTTATAGGAAATTAAGTTATTACCAACATAATGGGGTCATACACACACATGGTTGTCACATCATTTGAAGACTCGTGTTAAGAATAGGGTAAATTTCGCAACTACCTTTACTGGGAAGAACAATAATTAAGTGTTTATAAATTATTAGACTTCATATAGATTAACAGTTTTGAAATAATACTCTTGAAACATTAAAGCGATGCCTTTTTTATTTTAAAATATGTTATGAATGTATACATTTTTGACGATTTTATTAGATATGATATGTCAGTTCACGTTTTTTATTTATTTTTATAACCAAATTAGAAAGTTAAAGTTTTTCCAACAAAGGATAATATGTAGGATTAGATTAGATTAGATTAGATTAGATTAGATTAGGAGTTGGACGTTATTTGTCCTTGTCCACCGCGACCTTTTCAGATCTATTGTGGGACTCCGTTTGTTTTAGAGTATGTCGTCTAGCCTGGTCTTTTTTATTAGACAGTAGCTTTGACAGTGGCTCCCGCATGTAGTTGCATGCAATTGGCTTTTCTTCGCCCAATGTTAGAAACCTCATTCCAGCCAAGCCTTCACATTGGCACAGGACGTGGAATGATGTTTCCTCTTCTTCTTCACAGAACCTGCCCAAAGTTGCTTCTTCTGCTGGATTTATGACACTCATGTGCCTTTTGAGGCGACAGTGTCCAGTAAGAAGGCCTACTGTTATCCTAACGATTTGACGTTTTTGATCCAGTAGGTCTTTCGTAAACTTGGCCGATGGTTCCTTGATGAACTGTTTGGCCTGTCTCAGTCTTGGATAGTTGTTCCACTATTCCTAAGACTCTTTTTGCATCCATTGTTTAATGGATGCCTTGCACAATGCCTTAGCGACTCCACAAAAGGGTTCAGGGCCTGTCATGGCCTTATCTGAGCCTTCTCGGGATAATTCGTCGGCCTTTTCGTTGCCCTGATATCCCTCATGGCCTGGAACCCAGGCTAAGGTCACCTATGTAGGATAGAACTGGGTTTATTTAACTAGACAAAAAAATCTGATGTGTCCAACACATGACTTTCCTATTTAGTTATTATAGGCTTTTTCCAGTTATTTTTTACATTCTATTGCAGCACCTCTAAAAATGTTTAGAGGATAAACTAAATATATACATTTTCCACATACATCTAACTCGAAAAAATTTTCTACAGATATTCATTGAAAACGAAAATACTGAAAATTTTAAATTTAGCACTTTTCCTCCAATTTTTTCATTACGGTCCATTTTAGAAAAATCATGAAAAAACAAAAATTATAGAGATCGATATCGCAAACAACTTTTAGTTTTACAATTTTCTTAAAAATCAGAATTTTGCACATTTTGTCAAATTTCTCGAATACGGACCATTTCAGGAAAATTTTACATAAAGCAAAAATTATAGATAATAATATTAGAAGTAACTTTTACTTGAACAATTATCTTCTCTAAACATAAATAACAGATATATTCCATAAAATATAAAAACGGCCTCCCATAAAGTATCCCCCCAGATGTTTCGACTTTGTCCAAAAT